GTAAGATAAAACGTTCGCATTATTACGTTTTTTGTTTGAAACCGCGCGTCGTTCAAAGAGATGACATACACGAAAGCCACATTAGTAGCGCGTCGTCCTAAAAAATGATATCCGCGAAAGCCACTATAGTGGCACGTAGTATCTAAAAGGTTAAGTTCTATTTGTAATTATAATAAAGTAAAGCTGTACTTGTTGTTAATTCAGTTTTTACTAGCATCAACTGCTATACTTATTATTTGTAATGTAGTTTCCTTATTTATTAGCCACTGATAGCTTGATGGAGACTGGAGCGTGATTCTTACCCCGATTGTTCCCAAATAATGCATGTTTATATTTCATTTGTTTAAAACAAATACGAACAAACCAGAAGATGAGACAATTGTGATCGATGTGCAGTATGCGCAAAAATAAAAACATCGCGGGTCTCATGGTCAAGTGGTATCAAGCTGACGTCTTCTTTAAGCGGCGCTCGTAGCGAAAGGGTTAATAACTGGATCAGCTTCACCCCAATAACATATCCGAATTCACGCAACAATAAAGTAATTGAATATACCGTGATAAAAATGCACATCAAGTCCAATTGCACACTTTTAATTTTTAGCATCTACGCGGCTTGTAACGCCAAGATGCTTTACCGAAGAATTATTTAAACTGTTCAGGGATTTTAGGCTAAGGGACTCTAAAATCTATTATATTATCGTGGGTGATCTGAACGCAAGACACACGATCTGGGGAGACCACAATACAAATAATCGTGATGCCTAACTAATAAAGTTGCTGGATACCCACATATCGCTCAAAAACTCACGATATATCCTGCTACGAAACCAACATACCTAAGTGCAGGATCGTTTCCTGATTATGGGCTTCTGAATTCGAGAATGACTGTACTTAATGCAGCTAGAAATAAACTTCCCACTATCCCGTATGATAGTGACCACAATGCAATCGCAATCACGTTTGACACTATCAGTATATCTAATGGCATTATTACACCGAATGCAAATCCTGATAGATATAATTACAGAATAGCTAATTGGAGAAAATTCAAACAACACTTACAAAATAATTACAACGAGCAGATCCCATATGACAGAAACCTCTCAATAGTAGAAATAAACAATTACATAGTAAAACTGGAAGACTCCATATTAAAATTTATAGATGCAGTAATTTCAATAAGCGAGCAACCGAAAAATAAGGGTTGTCTGAGATATGTAAACCATAAAATTAAAAAGTTGCACAAATATAAATCCAAGCTTGTCACGGCGTTAGCAATAACAGAAAATCATAACATAGAGCAAAAAATCAGAATTAAAACGGTAATTAAATTCACAAACAATTTCCTGGCAAGAGAATTCAGGCGTTCGGAATCTTTATACTGAGAAGCTAAAGCAAAAGGTGTTAACTTCCGTGACCCCAATAGATTCATTCCTGAAATTAATGCATATTTTCAATATAAGGAATCCCCACGTATCGACGATCTCTTGATTGAAAAAGATAACAATTTAATCACTCCGGACATTCTAGGATCAGAACCGACACTATCATAAATGATAAAATACTTATTACATAACCATCTGCAAAACTAAATATTATCGGAAAATACTTTGAGTCAATCAATTCTCCACGTTATACTAACCTGGACACGAATACAAAAAGGAAAGCAGATGAAGCAGCAAATAACATCCAAACGCAACTCCAAACCATCAGAACTAACTTTGTAACACATACTAATTTCTCTAAAAACAAATGGGCGTTCTATCCAGTATAGAATCGAAACAATTCCAAATATCTACACCCCTTCTGTGTTGTTAAAGCTATACTGAAGTATGCAAAGAATAAAACATCTAGCGGATTTGACAAAATACCAATGATTGCCTTAAAACAGCTGACTCCGGACCTAATCAAAGATTACACTACCATCTTCAACAATTGTCTAAACCACTCGTACTTTCCAGAGAGATAGAAGAGGGCTAAAGTGATCCCTATCAAGAAAAAGCAGAAAAATACAACTGATCCATCGGGATACCATCCGATAAGCTTGACGAGTAACGTCAGTAAATTATTTGAAAAAATAATCAAAACCAATATAATGGATCACGTCGAAAATAACAATGTTATTCCGGATAATAAGTATTGGTTCAATTCCAGACACTCGACTGTCCATGCTATCCATAAGTTCGCGTCGGATCTGAATGGATATCTGCTAAATGGCATGCTGATTGAAGCGGTATTGTTGGATCTGGAAAAAGCGTTTGATTCCGTCTGGCTTAACGGTTTAATCTACATTTTACTTAAACGTGACTTTCCTAAAGAACTAATTCTGTTCATAAGTGACATGCTAAATGGGAAGTCGTTCTTGGTCTGGAACTGTATTCTTAGATCTTCAGTAACCTTCTGGGTCCTGGAGGGAATGCAACAGAGTACTGTAACAGCCCCACTACTTTTCAACATCTACAACAGTAAAATATTAAATCTATTTGACCTAAACTCTGGTAATCAAACAAATTCCAGCGCATACGAGGATGACCTTGTGGTATATATGGCGGATAGGAAAATCCCGATTATTTAGCAAAAGCTAGAAAAAATAGTCAATGAAATCTTAACCCTTGGCGCTCCGTTGGCTCCGCTACGGAGTCGTCGGTCATTTGTTCCGTAACTCCGCAGGCTCCGCTGCAATGTTTTGAAGAATAAAGAAATATCTCATAATTCTATTTGGCAAACGTGGCGCGCGGTGGAAGAGAATGAATTTTGGGCATTTATTGGAGTTATCATCAATATGGGTATGATACCCCTAGCGAATATCCAGGAATAMTGGTCAACTAAGGAGAATAGTCGCATCCCTTTCTTTAGTAAAATATTTACAAGGAAGAGATTCATGCAGATATTCTGGATGCTTCATTTAATAACACCGGACCCTACAAAAAATGACATCAAGACACGTATTCAACGAGCATCTAATTTTTTGGAATATATAAACACAAAATTTTCAGACTATTTTGTACCTGGACAAAATATATGCGTAGACGAATCAGTTGTTAAATTTAAAGGAAAGATCAGTTTTATCACCTACAATCCCAATAAGCCCACCAAGTGGGGCATTCGAGTATACGTTTTAGCAGACTCCGAAACTGGATATGTGTATAGCATTCTTCCATATTATGGAAGTATCACMTCTGAAAATCTGCCAAGGCAAGATTTACTGGTTAGCACCAGAATCACTCTGCATCTCTACCAACAATTATTAGATCRGGTACCTACCGCAAAAGGTTATCATATGCATACCGACAGGTATTACACCAGTATACCCTTGGCTCAAGAATTGAGAAAAACGAAATGCCACTTGACCGGCACAGTACAATCCAACAGAAAAGGTCTTCCAACATGTTTGAAAAAACCAAAATTAAGAGAAAAGAAAACTGTTGCATACAAACGTGGAAATACGATGATCTTAGCTTGGAGGGATAAAAGAATAGTGACGTTATTGAGTAACTGGCATAATGCTGGAATGGTAGCAACTAATAGATTTATTCGAGGTGGTACCAACGAAGAAATTGAAAAGCCAARTGTAACAATCGGATACACAAAATCAATGAGTGGTGTTGATCGGGCTGATCAATACGCCTCCAGTTACTGCTTTTTGAGGCCTTCCCTTAAATGGTGGCGGAAACTCTTCTTTTGGGGAATGGAAATGTCTATAATTAATTCATACATTTCTTATAAAACTGTACAGCACAATAAGAATGAGAACGTACTGACGCATTTAAAGTACAGGAAAACTTTACTGGATCAACTCGTAGGAGATTTTCATCAGGACAGAAGAAGAATATCTAGATCAATTTCTGAAATCAGATTGGACGGAAAACTACACATAATGAGGAAAGGTMCMAAGAGGGACTGCGTTGTGTGCTCTAAACGGAAAGAAAGGGATGRCAGACGTCAAACGAGTGAAWATTGTGACACTTGCCCAAGTAAACCGAGAATGCACATGGGAGATTGTTTCGAAAGGTATCACACYATGGTGAATTATAAAATTTTAAATTTATTTCTCATTGACAAGAAGAGACTGCAAATGTATATAATAAATAAAATCTCAAACATTTACAAGCACGTGTAATTTTTCTCACTTAAAATAAGMATCCTTCTTTTCACTCGTTTCGCTGCGAAAATGTGCCAGAGTTGCTGGTAGGCAGTGGAACAAAAACATGCGGAGCGCCAAAGGTTAAAATACTATAAACGCTGGAATCTAAAAATCAATCCTAATAAAAATGAAATAATACTGATACATAAAACGGTTAACGAGATATCTCCACAAACGGTCCCCGTCTAATTAAAGACTTCCACATCAACATCAACGCTGAATGAACGATGGAAGCTGATCCATTGGGTAATTGGGTGACAGGAGACAGTATTGCGAGGACAGATATCGAAGAAACGTGGAACACAACCGTAGCCGCGGTGAGTGAGGGTATAGATGAGCTTGCTCTTCTAAGACGAGAGATGGAAATCTTTTGAAAAGAAAAAGAGATAACGGAACGAGAAGTAGAACTAGCACGTAAGGAAATTGAGATTCTGCGAAGAACACAAACTCCTGCTATTGGTCAGTCATACTGGTTAGAAGAAGGGAGCCAGCCACCTGCGCAAACGAAGATAAATAAATTATCGTTAAAAGCCGTTACCAGATTGATTGGGTATTTTGAAGGGGAGGCAGATGAATTTACAATATGGGAAGATCACGTAAACTACCTGCGAGACATTTATCATTTGACCGAAGACCGAGCAAAAGTGATGATTGTGCAGCGTTTAAAGTGGCGAGCGTTAGAATGGTTCAGATCGCGAAGAGAATACCTGCATCTCACAGTGGATGAACTTTTGGTTTAGTTGCAAAAAATGTTTCATCAACGAATCAACAAGATGACTTTGTGAACAAGGTTCAAGGAACGTGTTTGGAAGCGTGACGAAACCTTCAGTGACTACTTCCATGAGAAGATAATTTTAGCAAATCGGATAGAGATCGATGAGGAGGAAATGATCGAGTTTATTATCGCTGGAATACCAGATCAATCGCTACGAGATCAAGCAAGGGTGCATGGTCATAAGAAGAAAGAATCCCTTCCGACCACGTTCGAGCATATATTGTTGCAAGGACGCCCGCAGTGGACGAAGATGGACAACTCGACGACTTGGGGGATTGATCCCTAATCTTACAATCACGTTTTACCAATATTTCTCGCTTATTTTTGCAAATACGAGGATAATCCTTACAACATTTTTTATGAATTTTTCAATTGTCTACAACTTTTGTTTGAAACTTTTTTCGATTAAATGCCTAGATTCTACGATACGGCCATTTTTTACTCTTTTTTCCCCTTTTTCTCATGAACCGCTCATCTTTGTGCAAAAAAATTAGTACCACTTGATTGAGCGTCGTCGAATTACCATTATATCAAAAAGTCACAATCTTAGGAAAAAAAAGGGGAGTTGGCCTCTTTTTGACTAGCCTATGTATATGAAATGCGACTATAAAACATGCGGTGAAACTAGATTATGCACAAAATTCCTAAATGGAACCTGCTGTGAACATATAAAAGCGCATTTAACGGAATTTTTAAACATAACATACGCCGAAACTGTAGAAATAGCAATTGCATTAGAAAAAAAAGTTATGACAGAATTTCTAAATCTTGCACTTTCAATGATTAATACTTACAATTCAGCAACGCAAGACGAGTTTTACGTTTGGTTAAAAAAATTCGAGTACGTAGCAGATATAATCGAGGTACCAGACTAGTTGATGCAGAAATTCTTCGAGAAAATGGTTAATAATGACGTCCAGACAGATGTCAGGAAAAACTACCCTATTTAATGCATACTTAAACTTACATCCAAAAACAAAATACTTATTTTTTTACCATAAATATTTTTCACCCATAGATGTTGATTTACACATAAAACGTTTCAGGTGTCGAAATCAATATGAAAATGAAACGATAGATAAATATGGCAAGAATTTATTGAAATTATTAAATAAGTGCAGTAATACGAGTAACCAAATCGAATTAATAATAAAACAACAATTTCTAAATGAAATCCTAGACATTATTTAAGAAATTCTGTACAAAATTTTGCAGGCTAATCCTTTCAAGATATGGTAGAAAAAGCTATTCATTTTTCAGAGGATATTAAAATAAATTCTTACGTAAATAAGGCACTTACGATGATAAATATTTACAATTTAAATAATGCAGACGAATTTATTTTCGTGGTTTAATAACTTCGAGTCTGTGGCAGAAATGATCGAGGTAACTGACGAGAAAATGATTAAATTCTTTAATAAAATGGTTGATTAAAATGTCCATACGAAAGTAAAGCAGTGTTTGCCGGTTGCCAACATCTCTAAACTTCCGTATGAGGAAACAGTAAACCATTACCTCTGTCATTTTCTTCCATGCGAAGATGATTTAAATATAAACGTTTTATGTGTCGAAATCAATATGAAAATGAAACGATAGATAAATATGCCAAGAATTTATTGAAATTATTAAATCAGTGCAGTAATGCGAGTAACCAAATCACAAATTATTATTAAAACAACAATTCTTATATGGAATCCTCGACGATAATATAAGATTTCATTTAATTAATATTTCTGGCTTACTGTTCGACGAAGTTGTAAGTAATGCTATTAATATGGAAGAGAAATGTTTTTCGGTCACAAGTCAAATGAATGAGCCTTAAAAAACTTCAGAAATACATAAAAGAAACGTGTAAAAGTACACTAACCTAACCGTAAATGATTATTGAAATTTTTGTTCTTTAATAAATTGCAACGCAAATAATTGTGTAAAAGTATATCACATTCTATGAACATACTATTTAATAACAAACAAAGGTAAAGTAAAATGAAATAAGCAACCAAGCTGTGTGTGTTACTATTAATAAACAGTATTCTTTAATGTTATCAAATAAGTTTAAATATTAGTTTTAGAATCTTACACAATTATTGAAATATATTTATATTTAAGAATCGTTCTTCGTTTTTCACACTAAATGTTTTTAAGAATTAGACGCAAACATAAAGTTATTATTGTTTATTAGGAGAATATAGTTAGTTATTTAAATTTTGCACTAAGTAGGCAAACAAATTAGGACATTTATGTGTGTGTGTGATGACGAGTAAGACGAATCGATACTATATGTGAGACATAAGGTGTAAGAGTATTGAATGCAAGCCAAAGTAGGTCATCGGCCCAATAATGTATACAGTCGCGAATATACAACTATAGTTTCTTACAAGAGGTAAATGAACTATACAAAAAAACTGGCCCAAGAAGGCAGGTATCGTCTAGTAGTCAAACAGCGACCTTGTCTTATTGTATTGGTATTGTTTTTGTATTTTATTTATCAAAATATATTGCATTTACGTGCAGAGAGACTGTTTCACTTAACTAAACTATCATAAACATTTTCAGAATTCCTTTATGTTCCGTCATTGTCAGAACAGTGGGAGCAATATTACACAACGGAGAATTCCAAGAAGATGCAAGTGTAAAAATAACCGGCAAAAGACTATTTAGGGATCGACAATGTATAGGCAAATCCGCGTTGACGAATCGCAGGTTAGCTTGCAGAAAGTATTCTGGCGTGATGATGTGCGAAAAGTAGTGAGCACTTATGAGTTGCTAATTCTAACGTACGGTACGGCGTCGACGTCATTTTTAGCTACGCGGTGTCTAAAGGAGATAGCGAATTTAAAGGAGGGAAATCATCTGATAGGCGCAGAGGTCGTAAGACGCGATTTTCATGTGGACGACTTGCTGACCGGAGCGGATTTAATTGCGGAAGTTATAGAAATACGCGATCAGGTAAACAAAGTATTAGCTAAAGCAGGTTTTAAATTGCACAAGTGGGCGGCTAATTCGATGAAAATCTTACCGCACATTCCCGAAAAGGTCGCTTCAGGGAAGATGCTGAATCTAAATAAGGAAGGCGGCATAAGAAAGCGATGACGCATTTCAGTATTCCGTTCCGATAACGGCGCCAGTTCAACGAGTCACAAAAAGAGAAATATTGGCGTCGGTTGCTAAGGTATTCGATCCGTTGGGATTAATTGGGCCAGTTACTGTAACGGGAAACATTATCATACAACGATTATGGCAAAACGTCGTGCATTAGGACGAATTCATACCAATGGAATTAGAGACAGCATGGTTACAATACGAGAAACGGCCCTCAGTGCTAAATGACATAAAGGTTGACCGAAAACCCATTTGTAGAAACGCGAAGGAAACAAAAATGCACGGATTCGCGGACGCCTCCGAAACGGCGTATGGGGCATGCGTCTATATGGTTTCGAAAGACGAGCGCGGAAATGGGAACAGCAATTTATTGTATGCGCGGTCGAGGGTAGCACCGTTAAAGGCCGTCTCGCTACCGCGATTGGAGTTGTGCGCTACCGTATTGCTCGCGAGGATGATAAGCAAGTTAAGGGCGAGCATGCGCGTAGAATTTAGGAAAATATGTTGCTGGTCCGATTCCACCATAGCATTGGTATGGATAAGATCACCATCGAGAAATTGGACTACGTTTGTGTCCAATCGCGTGGCGGAGATACAGGAGCGAATAGCAACCGCGAAATGGGGACATGTGTCTTCCACCGAAAATCCAGCTGATTTCATATCGAGGAGGGTCACCCCAACAGAACTTTTAAAGCTTGATCTATGGTGACACGGACCAGGAATGGTCTTCAAAAACGCGACGGACACAATGCCAGAGGCGCCACTCGAAGGATTGCCGGAGCGTCGAAAAACGAGTGTCGCGTGTACGACCGCGATGATAGGCCGCGACTAGAGGTCGCGAGAGTTTTGCGATCGTATATTCAGCAAATATTCGCAATTCCCCCGATTAGTACGGGTAATAGCGTACTGCGGCAGGTTTTGCAGGAACGTGCGGCGTGCACGAACCAAGGACATCGGTCCATTAACTGTGGCAGAAATCGCGGAAGCCAGGAATCGTTTGATAAAATTGTGTCAAGCGCAAGAGTTCGGAGAGGAAATAAGGGCAATAACAAAAAACCCAAAGATTACAGTACATGGAAGACTAGCGTGTCTTAAGCCGTTTCTGGATACCAACGGGATCATGCGTGTCGGAGGGAGGCTGCAAAACGCGAACATACCGTACGACAATAAGTACCCAATTGTGCTACCAAGATCGCACAAACTTACCGCGTTAATAATTCAGAACGAACATCAGAAAAATTCCATGCGGGCCCGCAACTAACACTCGCGGCGGTAAAAGAGAATTATTGGCCCATAGCAGGCAGAAGTACAGTCCGCAGAATAATTAGCAGGTGCGTAATTTGCTTTAAAAACGCGCCGATAAATTCGAGATATGTGATGGGTAACCTACCGGAATCACGGGTTACCCCCTCGCGATTGTTCACAAACACCGGAATAGATTATTGCGGCCCTTTTCTGGTGAAAGAAGGGAGAAAACGGAATGCGAAATATGTAAAAACATACGGTGCAATATTTGTATGCATGGCGACAAAGGCAGTTCACCTATATCTGAACCGGACATAAAGGAGATACCAATCAATCGGCTATCACGGCTACAACTAATCGAGCAGCTGCGACAGCATTTTTAGAAGCGGTGGTCGAAGGAGTATTTAAATCTACTCAACCAGAGGCCTGCGAGATCCGTACAAACACGTGATCCACTGCAGGAAGGCCACTTGGTTGTCATTCGAGATGACAATCTACCCCCACTACGATGGCTATTGGGCAGGGTGGAGCAATTAATACCGGGCGCAGACGGAATCGTTCGGACAGCAATGATTCGAACATCTAAGGGAATCATTAAGCGGGCTGCAACAAGGCTGT